TGAACAGAAGTGCTGTCATCCAGGCTTTGTTGGTCCATTTATATGGCATAGGCAGAGTCAATTTAGCATAATTCTTAAGGGCCTTAGGATTTTCTGAATAGTAAATAAGCATTGGCTTCAACTTAAAGTCACCAGCTGCACTAGCCCCTAACAAGAGAGCTGTCCTTTATTTTGAAGCCAGACATTGACTTCTCTCTAGCTCTAGAAGTCCTAGAAGGCATCTCTTCCAATATAAGGCTGGTTCATCCACATTAAAAATCCATTGTTTAGGCCGGGCACGGTGGCTCACGCCTGTAATCCTAGCACTCTGGGAGGCCAAGGCGGGTGGATTGCTCTAGGTCAGGAGTTCCAAACCAGCCTCAGCAAGAGTGAGACCCTGTCTCTACTAAAAATAGAAAGAAATTAATTGGCCAACTAAAAATATATAGAAAAAATAAGCTGGGCACAGTGGCACATGCCTGTAGTCCCAGCTACTCGGGAGGCTGAGGCAGAACGATCGCTTGAGCCCAGGAGTTTGAGGTTGCTGTGAGCTAGGCTGACACAATGGCACTCTAGCCTGGGCAACAGAGTAAGACTCTGTCTCAATATATAAATAAATATATAAATAAATAAATAAATAGATAGATAAAATAAAATAAAAACAAAAATCTAGCTATCCCAGCAGAACCCTCCCCACAAATAATCTGTGGTGTGGGCTTCTCACAGAGCAGTCATATAAGCCTCCAAAGACCTTCATGACTGGGAAACTAAGAAGGGAGTAGAAGTACGAAGATGAGTGGATCTGTGCATCTGTCTACAGAGATAGACAAATGGGTGTTCCTGGAGCTCCTGTAGTCATCACATCTCTACCTCACTCGCTTTTTAGTTTTGCTTTCATTGTGACTCACTAGTGAAAAAGGCACACCTGTGGGGAGATGTCCAGGTTGGGTTTGCTTCCCAGGAGAAATTGCTCTACTCTGGAGAGTCCCGAAAAGTTCCCAACCTTTGCTGCCTAAGGCCTCCTCTCATAAATCCTTTTACCTCTCCACTGATTAAATGGTTGGCCCCTGCTGGGTCAAGACTACCAAAACCCTGATAAAATGTCCTTAACATACACCGAAGAGAATATAAAAATGCTTGTGGTTGCAGTGTGCCCTAAGTAGGCCCATGCTGTCTGGTTATTCGGTAGATAAAGTTAGGAAAGGCTTTGAAGTGTCCAAAAGGCAGAGACAGGGAAGTGACTCACAGCTCAGGAGCGGTTCATTCTGGCGTCCACGGCCCTTTGTTCTGTGCTGCTTGGTGTCTGTGCGAGACTCAAGGGGTGAAAGCTCAATCCACAGGTGACCTGTTTGCATTTCTGACCCCCATTTGAGGTTCTCAGAGCTCAAGTAGAACTCCCTTAGAAAATACTACTGCACTTTTAGTGTAATTTAACTATCAAAAACCTTTGTTATTGGCCGGGCATGGTGGCTCACACCTGTAATCCTAGCACTCTGGGAGGCCGAGGCGGGCGGATTGCTCGAGGTCAGGAGTTGGAAACCAGCCTGAGCAAGAGTGAGACCCTGTCTCTACTAAAAATAGAAAGAAATTAATCGACCAACTAAAAATATATATACAAAAAATTAGCCGGGCATGGTGGTGCATGCCTGTAGTCCCAGCTACTCAGGAGGCGGAGGCAGGAGGATCGCTTGAGCCCAGGAGATTGAGGTTGCTGTGAGCTAGGCTGACGCCCCGGCACTCTAGCCTGGGCAACAAAGTGAGACTCTGGCTCAAAAAAAAAAACAAAAAAAACCTTTGTTATTTAAAAAACCTGAAACCTTTCTTATGGGAAGTGTAATAAAATATAAATGTACTAATGTAGCACAAATAGATCAGACCGAATAATATTAAATAAAGGAGAGAAGAAAAGAAACTTTAAGTCTTAAAAGCTTTGGGCTACAATTTCTTAAATTGTTAATTCTATTTTAGTCTTTCCATCTGATTAAAAATAACTGGGGACAAAGTGCCACATTAACATGGCTTCATTGCTCACAAAACATTGTAATGAAGATAAATCATTATCCTCTCTGCTCCATTTCTGGAGAGAACAAAAAATAGCCCAAACCATTCTTTTTAAAGCCTCCTGAAGCAAACACTCAACTCTCTTCTGTCTTGTCCTTTTAAAATGGGGACATGGCTAGTTCCATCATTCTGTCTCCTCTATGGCATTATCATAACACACTTCCATCATTCCCACGGATCACCTTGAATGGTAACTACAGTATTTGTTCATTTCCTCTCAAAGGCAAGGATCATGGCAGACAGATAGAATAATGCAAATATGTGACCCCACAATTTGGGGTCACAGATACACAGATACAACCTTGTCCCTCTTCAAAGCCCTGGGTGCACTTTTGTATAAGAATGAACATGTTGGTTAAAGAATTCTATTCCACCACATTTGAGTAAACAGCTGAAATGAATTTTCAGCTGAGTTTTTACAAATGCTATTTGTAAGCTTTTTGCTTTCATTAAAGTATCAGGAAAGTGCAGGTCAATTTATCATGAGTAATCACATACATTCTCTGTAGCACTTTGCCCAAAGAAACCTAGCCCAATATGGTAACATGAGAACAATTCTTCACCTCACATTTCCCCTTGGAAGGTAAAGAGAACATAGAGCCATTCTGCCTCACTGCAGGAGAAAGGGCAGAGCAGTTCCTGAGGCCCTCAGGACACCAGCTGGCTGCAATCTTTCCTTTTTAGGGACCTGGCGTTTTCTGGCCCAGGGACAAAGCACATTTATTTCAGATGGATCAACACTGTCACCCAGTGGGCAGACAGCAAGGCAGCCAGACTCTGACCACCAGTATTGACTAGGAACCTGTTTATTTCAGGTGATCAGGATTAATTATTTATATTCATTCTCTTACAGGCACTAGGATGACCTCAGCTGACAAGCCTTTGATTTGGATGTCACAGGTGAATGCAACTGAAGGAAGACATACATTTTCATTGTGCTTATGCTTTTTTTTTTTAAGCCACTAGTGAATTTATAGGAAGCGCAGACTATAAACCAACTAAGCATGTCTGCGAAGACTCCAGGATCAAATAGGCTTGCAGGAGCGGGGGTGATGTCTGGACACCTGCCAGGTACTGTAGCGGGACTTCCCACCATAGAATAAGACTCGTCGTTCATAGTGACCGCCATGTGTCTTTTGAAAACTGAAGATAGATTTGTGAATATGTGGATTAAAATCTCAGGAAATAATTTGCTTTACTACAGTGAAATCAGTGGATGAACTACTCTTCTTTTCCCTATTTTGTATATATCTTAGAAGACATGTGTGGAATATGGCCTCTGTCCCATTTCATTTGTACTGAGTCCCCTTCTCCTCTCTAAGCTGTCATTTGACACTTGCAACAAGCTGGCTTACTTTTCACATTGAAGTAAGTGGCTCTGTGCCTTCTTGCTAAATATACATTTAAATTAGTTTCTTCTCCCCAGCTGGAACTCATCAACAAACTGAAAGCATTCATCTGGTATCATTTTACATTTTTTAAGTATGTCCAAAGTAGTGGGGGCTGGGACTTTACCTTGTAGGAGCTCTAGAAGAGTCTTGATTAAAAACAAAATCTCTGGGCCAGGTGCAGTTTGTAATCCTAGCACCCCGGGAGGCCGAGACCAGGGGATTGCTTGAGCTCAGGAGTTCAACACTAGCCTGAGCAAGAGTGAGAACTCCTCTGCCCCGCCGAGTCCCCCATATGTATTAAAAATAGAAAAATTAGCCAGGCATCATGGCGCATGCCTGTAGTCCCAGCTACTAGGGAGGCTGAGGCAGGAGGATTGCTTTAGCCCAGGAGTTTGAGGTTGCTGTGAGCTACAATGATTCCTCTGCACTCTACCCAGGTGACAAAGTGAGACTGTGTCTCAAAAAAAAAAAGAACACATAAATAATTTAGCACAGTGCCTTGGCACATAGTTAAAAGCCAATAAACATTAGTGTTCCCATTATCATAATTTTTACAATGACAGCCATCATATTCATTACTCCCCAAATGCAGCTTTCATAAAGCACCCTAGACTAGCAGATAAAATCATGGGTTTTTTTTTTTTTTTTTTTAGCTGAAAGGGTCCTGAGAGATCATCCAGTCAGTCACTCCTTCTCATTAAAATCACCCAGAGAAGCTTTAAAAAACACTGATACCCCAGTGTAGCCAGACAAAAGAATACTTATATGAATCCTTTTAGGTAAAATTCTAGAAAAGGTAAACTTAATCTATATTGACAGCAGATCAGAGGTTGCCTGGGGATGAAGTTGGAAGGACTGACAGCTAATGGGCCAAAAGAAACTGTTTGGGGTGATGGCCATGTTTTCTATTTTTATTGTGGAGGTGCTTACACAGGTATATGCATTTGTCAAAACTCATCAGAGCTGTTTGCTTAAAATGAGCACAGCACACTGTGTGTAAACTGTGTCATAATAAAGAGAATACTGATGCTTCTTCCCCTCTTGCAGATAAGATTAAGCCAAACAGGTACAGCTGGTTATGGTGGAAGGTCAAAGACTAAAATCCAGGTCTCCCAGCTCCTTGTTTTCCAAACCTTATAACATTTCATCTGCCTGGAACCTCTTTCTTCTCCTCCTTCTTCTCATCTCTCTGTTAAAATCCCACCCACCTTTAGGGCCTGGTATATTATTGGCTTTGGCCAATAGCATGACCAATAGCATACTGCATACCATTAGAGGCCAGGCTTTAAAAAATGTACAGCCTCCATCTTCACCTTTTGGAACATTCCTTCTTCAAACAAACACCATGTTGGAGGAAACCCAAGCAGTTACAGTTGTAACTGCAGTTACAACCTGCAGTTATAAAAAGACCTGTAGTCAAGGGTTATCACAGAAGGCTGTGATTCGAGTTGAGCTATTTCTGCACTCTCTCTAGCCTGTTGACTCTCTGTTGATTCTCTAAATGATCTCTAAGTCATGCAAGCATCATACATAGTCAGTTAAAAGAGTCATATGTCTCAAAGCACATACCAAAAAAATTCCTGGGATGACATTGTGCCTTTGAACCAGAAGTGGACAACTGCTGCCTGTAAATTTAGATGCAGAGGTGATGTTGTACTTGAGCAATCGAAAGGAATCCAATTGACTCTATAAGAAAAAAAAAAAGAGAGTTGTAAGGATATTAAATCCTAGGCAACAAATCTTTTGCTCCATTGGCAGTATTTGCATCCTTAAACCAAAAATTCTAAACTCCATCCCCGCTACTCCATTAAAAATGTTTTCAAAAGCTCACCAAAGACCTCGGTGTTGCCAGTGGACATTTTCATGTTTCTTATATTACTTGGCCTCTCTATGGCACTTGAAATCATTGAATGGACCCTCCTTTTCCAGCTCTCTCCTGGGCTTCTCCAGCCCCTTTCTCTTGCATCTTCTTCCTGTTTCTCTAAGCCTTCCTTGCTAGTTTTCATCATGCATAACTTTCCCCCCTTGCCTTCTAGATATTTACTGTACTATTAATAAAAGCTCCAATCTTGTCTCCTGCCATTCAGTCTCTTCACACACTCCTTGGGTGACCCATAATTCTAACTACTATGTTAGAATTTATGTCTGCCAAATGACCAAATGTCTACCAAAGCTACTGCTCTCCTCTGAGTGCCAGACCTGTGCACGGAATTGCTTGTTTCTTGACGACTCCATAGTGATTGCTCAGGTACCTCAGACTTAACCTGTCCAGCCTGAACTTTTAATCTTTTTCTTCAAATATTCTTATGGCAGATTAAAGATGGCTATAAAGTCTTTGCCGCTCTACCCATCCAGAGACAGGAGTCTGCTTTTACTCCCCTTGAATCTGGGCTGACCTGTGACAGGCTCTGACAAATAGCATATTGCGTAAATTTTGAGACCAGGCATTAAAAGACTCATAGTTTCCATCTTCACCTCTTGGAACAGTTCTCCTTCAAACAGACGCCATGTTACGAGGAACCCGAGCGGCTATAGGGAAAGGCCCTTGTGAGGAGAACGAGACCCCTGGCCAACAGCCAGAATGAGCTCCCACATGGCAGCAGTGCCACCCGCCAGCCCCATAAATGAGGCTCTTTTTGAGGCTGCTCTCCAGCGGCGCTCAAACTGCCCCAGCGGTTGCTACGTGAAGCAGAGTCAAGCCATGCCTGCTAAGTCCTGAGCAGGCTCATAAGTAAATATATGGTGGTTATTTTAAGCTTCAAAGTTTTGGGGTGGTTTGTTATGCAGTAATAGATAACTGAGACATTTCTCATCCTCCTCCTCTGAATTCCCTATCTCAAAAAATAGTGCTGCTCTTCTAGTTGTCCAAATGAGAAGCTGGGAGACATCTAAAGCTCTTCTCTCACTTAACATGTCAAATCTTATAGAGTCTCACTTCTATTAATAACTATCACTCATACTCAGCATGCTTGTCCATTCTCACTGTCACTGCCTGATCATTTCTCACCTGGTTAAATGCAACCAGATCTCCCTGTCACTCTGACCTTTCCCCTATCATTCTGTCAAAATGATCCTTTTAAAAGACAAAACCTCTTTATGTCACTTGAATGCTTAAAATCCTTTACTGGCTGGGTGTGGTGGTGCACACCTGTAACCCAAGCTACTTGGGGGCTAAGGCAGGAGGACCACTTGAGCCCAGGAGTTGGAGGTTATGGGGAGCTATGATCACGTACTCCACGTACTCCAGCCTGGGTGACAGAGCAAGACCCCATCTCTAAAAAAATAAAATAAAAATAAAAAATTTTTAAAATCCTTTAATGAATCCTCCTGCTTTTCAAGGAGAGTTCAAATTCCTTATCAAATCTCACCATCAGGCTTCCTGGCACTTGTCTGGCTGCCAGCTTCCTCAACATGCCCCCCCCCATCCTGACTTATTTCCCATCTCCCAGATTCAGCCAACTATCTCCTATCCTCTTGCTCTCCACCATGCAGTTTTCCAATATGCCATCCAATATGCAGAGTGTGGGAGATGTCTTTTACCCAACACTCTCTGGTCCTACAAGATGCTTCTTGCCTGAACGCTGTTTGCACTTCTGACCCAGCCTTCATCTTACCATGTGGTGACTGTCTGGTCTCTCAATTGTCTTTTCCTTGAGGACAAGATCAGAGTCTAATTCGTTTTTCTCTCTCTCTTTCCTATCATGCCCCCCAGCATGTCGTAGGAGCTCAGTAAATGTTTGTCTGAATTAATACATAGAACTGTACTATCAAAAATTCTTCTTGGATTGATCATCTCCAAGGAGATATTCCTAGTATGATGAATATATTTCTCCATGGCTAAAAGGGTTCAGCCAGGCATGGCAGCCTTTATCAGCTGAGCATACTATGAAGCCTCTCACACGCCTCCTGCCTCCACGTGTGAGCACAAGCTACATATGAGCCGTTCTTCCCAATCCATTCACCTCTTTTGCTCCACTCTTGACCCCCTGAGCTGCTGGCTTTTCTACTACACACCAGTATGTGGCACAGCATGGTGCTTAAGAGCGTGTCCTGGAGTGAGACAGCCTGGTCCACGGCTCAGCCCCACTGCTTCCAGCTGCGTAACCTTGGACAAGTAACTTAACTGTTCCTGTCTCAGCTGCTGACCCGCACTCAATGGACCCATGCAGAGTGCCAGCCATTTAAGGTTCTTTTGAGGATTAAATGATACTCCATGTAAACAGTGGTCACAACACAGGAAGTGCTCAATAAGTATTTGCTATCTTGATCTTATTCCTACCTTGCCATTTCTGATCAGTGCAGCAAACATACACTGTTTATTTAGGCACCAGGCAAGGTGTAGGAGTACATAAATAAGACCCGTTCTATACACAAGGATATCATAGCCTGTGGGATTTGATGCACCTTGTTGCCCCAGTGAGGAGTGTGACTCCTCTGGACTGTGACTCTGCCCTCCTATCCACTCAGCTCATCTGTCTCTTCAGATGAAATCTCGCTCAGCTCACAAACCAGTGGTCCTAGAAACACCTCCAATGAGACTGAGAAAGAATTGGCAGTGAACATGGCCATCAGACTGAGGGGCCATTCACTCACTCATTGGTTCATTTCTTCATTCAACAAATATGTTTTAAATGTTTGCCAGGAATAGGTGCTGGGACCACAGTGGTGAACAAGACACAATCTTGCCACTGAGAAGCTTCCAGTCTATAAGGCAGAGGATTCCAGCTTCAAGGCAGGCTAGGAAGGTGAGACCGTCCTCTGTGTCTTCGCAGAACCCACCACACACCCTCTGTGGCTCAGGCCACCCTTTTAGGAGCTTTGACTACACCCTGATGCTTTCACCAGAGTACCTGGCGAATTCCCACTGCTGTTCAGCCTCTAAGTACAGCTCAGTAATTTCACCACCATGCAGGCCTTGTGGTTCCCTGGTTAGACAGGATGAAAGAGAATGAAGGGAAAGCCAAGGCTCTGGTCCAGCCAGGCAGCCTTTTTGGAGGAGACTAGAGTTCGTGGCTAAGTTGTCCGTGTTTTGTGAAGTTTTTCATTGTTATTTGTATTCCCTGTAGGTTCTCGGTCATGAGATCATTCCTCTCCTTTTTCTGATGTGAAAAATAATCTACTTTCTGGAAGTTTAGGGTACTCCGCCCTTTATGCCCAGATTCTCTTTCTTCTGCATTCAGAGTTAAAAAAAATCACCTCCTTGCAAGGCTGCCATCAACCCTGCTGGACACAATATTTCCTTAGTCAAAATTTATATTTTAAATTAATTTGTTCGTTTATGCTCTGCATTTTTTGCAAAAGATCTGATGTGGTTTATAGGAAGCAAGTATAGTATAAGAGAAAATTATAAATTCAAAAAATATAATCAGAAAATTTCAATACAAAAAGAAGCTCTAGATCCAAAAGAAGAAATGGATTTCGGGTAAGTGGTCTATAAGTTCTTGTCCTTTTATTACAGTTCACTCTTAGACTTTGTACTTTCAGGAAAAGTGAACAGAGAAACAAGGTGGGCACCAAAAATCTCCTTATCGGGAGACAGAAAACACAATATCCTCATGGAAGTAAAGCTTTTCTAGCTTCTCATTCAGAGAGATGATTTTCACATTGGGCTTCATACAGGGGACACCAGGCCTGTAGCAAATATTGTAACATCCCTCAAAAGGAGCTCAGGGCGTATTTAAGGCAACACCTTAAAAGGCAATTCAGTGAGAGCAGTTCAATCCTTTGACACAACCCAAGATTTCAGTTCTCACATGCTTCAACCTCGTGGAAAACAAGATCTGGGCTCCCTAACCAACCCCAAGGCTTGGGATGGGGAGCTGACCAGCCCCTGGTGGGGCTGCCCATATGGGAGAGGGCCCTCAAAGTCATGCTAAGTAACATGGACTGGACTCAAAGGGAGGTTCCTGGAGGGTTTCAAGCAGGAGAACAATGTAGTCATGTTCATATATTAAAAAGAACACCCTGAAGTGGATAGGAAATATCAGAGGGAACAAGACAGAAGCAGGAAAAACAGCTAGAGAGGGAATTGGAGAAAAACAGGTGGGAGGAGAAGAAGGTCTAAAGTAAGTGGAAGCAGTGGGATTGGAAAAAAAGGGGCAGTTAGAATAAAAGCAGTGGGATTGGAAAAAAAGGGGCAGTTAGTCACAGTGATAAAATCCATAAGACTTAGTGACTTATAAAATATAGAATAGGTTTCATGAGTGGCTACTGAGATCAACTGGTAGTGGCTCCTCAGAGTAAAACCAGAAAAAAAGAGATTAGGGCCCAGTCTAGGCTCCCTTGAAAAGAAGGATGGATTAGTAATGTCTGCCAGGAATTCAGAATGGGAGAATGTAGATACATGACTGGTATCCACCACTCCTATTATTTGGTGGAGGAAGCATTAAAATGAACTGTGTGTTTCAAAAAGTGCACAACTGTGTGATTCCATGAAGATCTAGGACAGACAAAACATTTATGATGATAGAAGTCAGTGGCTACCTAGGGATGGGCAGGTGGGTGGGTTATTGACTGAGAAGGTGCAGGAGAAACCTTTTTACAGCCTGGAAATCTTGTATATCTTGATCTGGGTTGTGATTGCACAGGTGTATACATCCTAATATTAATAACTCATTGAACTATATACCTTTAAGCTTTGTGACCTTTATTACATGAACGTGTACCTCAATAGGAAGGCAGAGGGAAATCTCTTCTACGATCCTCTGTGTAGCTAAGGAAATTTATTAAGATGAAACACACAAGTAAGCATTTTCCCACAATTTGTCTTTATACACACGACACCCACCTGAATGCAAGGCATGCTTCTAGATCTATTCAGTTCTCTATATACTTTGGCCACTTCATTTATAGTCTTGTCCTTCTCCTTGGCTGAGAACACACAGACTATGATGATCTGATCCAGAGAGGACAGCTGCCTGCTTATAAGGTGATCATACTCCAGGTCTGTCACTTCAGGGATGCTGTGAGGGCTACATCGGCATATGTCCCTGTCCTCCCCATGCAATATTCTCCTTAGGACCGCAGGACAAATCAGCTGGGAAGCAAACCATGTATCCTTGCTTTCAATGGGAAGGGGAACCCTAGAAAAGTAGTGGTTGGAAATCATGTCAAAGAACTGAAATGACAGAAAGAACATCCCTGGATTAAAAGTCTCTGCTTTGGTAAAGCACTGACATTTAATTCTGGACAGAATTTTATTTGCCAACACACAAAAATACTTGTCAATACATGAAAATGTAAGCCTTTTTAGCTACACAGGCACCTATGGCTCTGAACCAAACATAAGCTATGTGTTCAGAGGACGAATCAATACAAATGATTGCAAATAATTAACCAGTAAGAATGATTAGAGTGTTAACTGCAAGAAGAATGAGCACAAGGCTGGTCAGTAAGATACTTATCATTATTTTTATTCTCTTAAAGATGGGAAAATTGAGGGCTCTGGAAATTTAGTAATTTGACCTAAAACATATAAGTAATAAATAATGGTGTTATCATTTGAACCCATGTGGGTTTTTTTCCCTATTATCATACTGCTATCTTGCTGACTCCTGAAGATGAAATACCTGTAACATACTTCTTAGTTCATTTATTATGTCTATTAATAGACTGGATAAGCCATGTAACCCAATAGCCAGAACAGAAATCAGAAAGCTAAGCTGGGACCCATCATCTGTCACTTATGCTCAATGTGACTGTAAATCTTCTGACTTCTTTGTGCCTCAGTACTAACATCTGTTATGTAGGGGTAAATTCATGTTTCTACAAATCTTCCAGGGAGATTATGAAGCTTATAAAACCAAATTTCATTAATTTTAATTAGCCTAAAGAATTTTTATGAGATGCTAAATTTGTTTTAAAATATAACATTTTAATTAAGTTATTTAAAACTGGCATTCCTGGGCAGCTAGAAGAGTACTTTTTATTGTCATTAAAATATTTACTATTGGCTTCAGTTTCTTAACTCTGAAGCTGAGTGTTGTGGACTCAATGCTTGAGTTCTCCCAAAATTTGTATGTTGATGCCCCAATCCTCAAGATATTTGGAGATAGGGCCTCTATGGAGGTAATCAAGGTTAAATGATGTCATATGGATGAGTCCCTGATCTGATAGGATTAGTGTGTTTATAAGAAGAGGACACCAGGCTGACCACGGTGGCTCACACCTGTAATCCTAGCACTCTGGGAGGCCGAGGCGGGAGGATTGCTCAAGGTCAGGAGTTTGAAACTGGCCTGAGCAAGAATAAGACCCCATCTCTACTAAAAATAGAAAGAAATTAATTGGCCAACTAAAAATACATAGAAAAAATTAGTGGGTATGGTGGCACGTGCCTGTAGTCCCAGCTACTCGGGAGGCTGAGGCAGGAGGATCCCTTGAGCCCAGGAGTTTGAGGTTGCTGTGAGCTAGGCTGGCGCCACGGCACTGTAGTCCAGGCAACAGAGTGAGACTCTGTCTCAAAAAAGAAAAAAAAAAAAAGTACACCAAAGAGCTGGCTTTTGCTATCTCTGCCATATGAGGACACAGCAAGAAGGTGGCCATCTAGAAGCCAGGAAGAGAACCCTCACAGGAACCAACCTGGTCATGGACTTCCAGAACTGTGAGAAAATTAATTTCTGTTGTTTGTCACCCAGTCTGTGGTATTTTGTCAAAGCAACTCAAGCAGACTAATACACTAAGAAACTTAATGTAATAAATAATCAGTTATGTTTGTTACAGTCATGCTTTTTGAAATGTCTTGATGCCTCCCCTCAGTAGAAACACATTTCTATGAAAGGATGATTATATACAGTATTTACTTGTCATAGGAAAACCCATGCATGTAAATACAGTGCATTATTTCAACACTTGCCTTAATCCCCCACCAGATCAGTTTTCAATGTTTTTTCCTCCTTTTTCAGCAAAATATTTATTAGTGAATTTAGATACAGGCTGACTTAGAAATGGATCTTCTTTTATGAAAAACAAAGGGCAAGCCGGGCGCGGTGGCTCACGCCTGTAATCCTAGCACTCTGGGAGGCTGAGACGGGCGGATTGCTCGAGGTCAGGAGTTCGAAACCAGCCTGAGCAAGAGTGAGACCCCGTCTCTACTATAAATAGAAAGAAATTAATTGGCCAACTAATATATATATAAATTAGCTGGGCATGGTGGCGCATGCCTGTAGTCCCAGCTACTCGGGAGGCTGAGGCAGAAGGATTGCTTGAGCCCAGGAGATTGAGGTTGCTGTGAGCTAGGCTGACGCCATGGCACTCACTCTAGCCTGGTCAACAAGTGAGACTCTGTCTCAAAAAAAAAAAAAAAAAAAAACAAAGGGCAAATAATACCAGTAGAATATTGTTTCTCTGAAATGTTCAGAATCTGATCAGTTTGGTATTAATTACAATAAAAGTTTATGTATGTTGCTATGTGCATATAATGGAACAGTTCACATACTCATAAAAATATGAAAAATAATATAATGAACACCCTTGTATATACTACCTAACTTTATTGAATCTTAATATTTTACTCCATTTGCTATTTATATATGTTTTGTTTTTTCATTGTTATAGTTTCATTTTCTTCTCTTTCTTATATATATATTATTTTAATTTTCTTCTTTTTCTCTTTTTTTCACATGGCACTATTGACAGCTGAATTGTTATAGTTTCAGATACAACTGAAGGCCCCAAGGACCCCTACCTGATTTCAATCAATTTTTTACCCTGAATTTGGTTTATGTCATTCTCATGCATGTCATATAAATATATAATAATCCATAATCTATCAGGATTAGGATTTTTATTTGCGAGCGGCAGGAACAAACTAGTTGATTTAAACAAACAAAGAAAAAAGAGTTTACCAGAGACTTGGAAAATCTTTTCAAGAGTGGAAGACTCAGGCTTGCAGGATCTACTGCTAGGGAAAGTGTCCCTAATCATGCTGTAGAACATGTCCAATAGTGACACCACAGCCATAGCTGCTGGGCAGACCCTATAGTTTGCACTGCTGATCCTGCTGACCCAGCACACTGCTGTGGGAACCACAGCCACTGCAGCCTCTGGACGCCAAGTGCTGCTACTGCCCTTCCTTCCACTGAGGTCTGGGCAGCCCCTGAAGCTGGGGGAAAGGCTGGGGCAGGCGCATTTGATTGGTGGAGACTAGGTCACGTGCCTGGGCCCTAGCTCCAGGGGAGACTGGAAATGAAGAATCTGGCATTATCAGCTTCTATTGTGGGAGTGGACTCTGCCTCTGTAGGTAGGGGGGGTCCTCAGACACAGGAGGGAGGTGCAGATGCTGCATGGTCAAAGTAAATGGCAGTTGTCCACAGCAAACCATTTATACATTCTCTTGTATAAGAGATATACATACTTATAGGTAGTTTCCAATTTTTCTACTATGGCAAACTGCTGCAATGAAACTTTTGTACATTTCCTAGGGCATAGAGTTTCTTTGGATTACAACATATTTGCCTCTTCAACTTTACTAGGTATTGCCATATTGTTCAGCAAAGAGTCTATTTGCCAGTCATATGTTTTGTTAGTATTTTCTCCCTATCTATTGGCTTGTCTTTTTGTTTACAGTATGCTTTTATTGTATGGGAGATTTTCATTTTAATGTAAACTAATTAACCCTCTCTCTTATGATTGCATTTTTTTGTGTGCATTTGGTTTAAGAATTTATCTTCTACCTTGAGATGATAAAAAATATTCTCCTTATGTTTTCTTCTAAATGCTTTTTTGTTTTTGTTTTTGAGACAGAGTCTTACTCTCTTGCCTCAAGTAGAGTACAGTGGTGTCATCACAGCTCACCACAACCTCAAACTCCTGTGCTCAAGTGATCCTCCCACCTTGGCTTTCCAAAGTGCTAGGATTACAGGGATGAACCACTGCGCTCAGCTTTTTTTGAGTAATTTTGAAAGTTTGAACAAATGTTTTAGAGCTGCCTCCCACAGCGCCTGCTCACTTCATTACTACAGATTTTTAAGAATTGGTTAATTTTGTTACTTGCATACAGTTCTGGCATGGAGTCAAGGAGCCATAATCTGACCCCAACCCTGTCTATTGTCTCTGTCTTCCACAAAACCAAGCTACTCGGCATTCCTCCGATTTGTCTGACCGTCCCTCCTATAGGAATTTGCTCAAATTCTTGCTCTGCTGCTCACTAGCTGTGTCTTTGGGCAAATTACTTACTTCTCTGAGCTCAGTTTCCTTAGCTCTAAAATAGGGATGGGGAAGACAGTGAGGAATTAATTGCGGTTACCCCTGAGATGTGTCATGAACATTAAGTGAAATCTCACAAGCACAGTGTTTAACATGGTGCACAGTGTATAGTGAGTGTTCAGTAAACACTAACTATCCCTGACGTCATTAGTATTATTACGGCTCATCACTCATCTCTCCACCTAGAATGATTTTCCTCCCTGCTTGATATCCAAATTCTCTCTCATTACTCAAGACTCTAGTCAAATACTCCCTAAAAAATCCTTCCTTTTCAAAAATACTCTCCCTCCCCAAAACTTCTTTAGCATTCTAGCTATATATAATAGCTCTGCTAGCACTTTCTTCCTTATTTTCCATTTATTAATAGTATACACTACATCTACGGCTTCCTGCAGACCTGAAGCCTCAGAGGACGGGGGTCTATGTTGCTGGCTGTGCCTGGCCAACAGCAACATAAAGCAGGTGACAGCTTCTGGTTGCATGAACTCATTCCATGTCCAGGAGTCTGTCTGACAGCCCTGCTCTGTTTACCAGCATTAGTGAGGTATAATGTCAAGACTTCAGATACAGGAAACATTTCCCTCAATGTATTTACAACTTTTATTTAAGTTTGTGGTCTTCATCAAATGCTACTGAAGTGATATTAGGTTTGGGATTCTCGGCTCCTAGGGCCCTTGGCAGATGCGTGCCCAGCTGTCTGCAGTACTGTGTGGTGGGAGGGGGTGAGGCGTCTCCTCTGGCTTCTGACGGCTGCCGCTAAGTGCAGAAACCAAGCTGCTCCTCCACAGTCCCCCTCATTCTACCGAGACCTGGATACAGGTGACGCCAAGGCCTTCTGCACCTGAGGTAGGAACCATCCCTGTTTGCCGGTTCATTCCAGAGATGCAAAGGCATGGAGAACCAAGCTTTTTATGCTGATGAAGAAAAACAAGGCATATTTCCCCCAGGAGAACTGGTACGAAAAGCAGGAGAAACAGTAAGTTGTGACACTTATATACTATCACCAAGCACAGAGTAAGGAATTTTCAGCATAGGATCAGTTTTAAAGAATCGTTCACTAAAGGGGTGAAAACAAAGTGAGTCTTAATTCCTGATTGATTCGAATTCCATTGCTAAATGGGGGGCCTTGTAGGAAGCAGATTGACGAGAACTCAAATGCTTGAATCTAAGCATGCAAGTTTGTCCCGGTTTTAGGAAAGATTTTTCATTGATTACATGAAAGTGGCAAGTCCTTAACTCAGCCTGCTTAGAGGGAAGCCTTGTATCAAGTGACTTAACAACAGGCTTTGCTCAGCATTTGCAAGTGGACTGCATGAGACGTTCACGTAATGCCCTTTCCAACATGAGCTGGACTATGAACTATTAAGACAAATGAGACTGGTTACCGGAAGGACCGATTGCTGGCTGGGGTCCTCTGGGTGCGACGGAGAGGTGAAGGCTTATAGACACCCTTCAGCTCCAGGAAAGTATTTCGGTATTGAAGATACTCCTTCTCTATGTCTTTTTCCTTTGCACATTGTTTCAGAGACAGTTTTTCTGACGAGACTTCTTGTTTCCTGACTACTTCATGTGGAAACATGGGTATTTTGCAAATGTGCAGTGATTCCATTCCTGAAATGTAAACAGAATACATCCCACTGAACAGCCTTAGTAGAACAAGGCATCCGCAGGCTGAGCTGCAGGGGTTGAGTTGCCTGCTATAGCCTGGGCGCTCCTTCATGCATTTCTTGAAGTTCCTTTCTGTGGGCTCTTTTCTTTTAAATGCACCTCTTGGTCTGCTCAAAGGATACATGTCATCTGTGTAATAAGCAAGGATAATAGTTCTAGGCTATCAGCAAATCTAATCCATAGAAGTCGTACTTACCTTGTGTCAGGAAATGAGCTGAGAACCTGAAATACGTTATCCCATTGAATTAAGTACCCCCATGAGTTGAGTACTCTTATATTCATGATATCATGAATATAAGGCAAGTCCAAGTCACCCAGCTAGACAGAGGCACAATCAGACTTTGGACAGGTCTCGTTTGATTCTCAAGACTGCTTCTCTCATGCTATGTATAGATCAGTACTTCCCAAACTGTTTATTTAATCACATAGAAAACTACAAACTGAAAAGCCTCATATATAGAGATTCTTATCATAGAAAATGTGATATTTAAAAAAGAAAATATGATGTATTTGTCCAGCACATTGGGATAAATTACAAGCTACTAGGCAGCTTGTAAGTGGAGGCCATGATCCCAGGGGCTTAATCACCCAGCCTAGCCGGGCGGCTCTGAGGGCTGAGAATTTCCATGTCTCAGTTCCTGTGTAAAACATTTGTGGCATAATCTTTGGGAAGCTCTGCTATGTGCCACAGTTTGTAGCAAACTACCTCCTCAAAAGGAGGCGCTCACCTTTGGATTTAGCATATAGCAGATGCTCGTTATTTACGGGTTCCGCATTTATGAATGTGCCTACTCGCTAAAATTTATCTGTAACTCCAAAGTCAGTATTCATGGAACTCTCGTGGTCATTTGCAGATATGTGCAGAGCAGTGAAGATTTAGAGTTGCCTCTTGTGCATGTTCCCAGCTGAAGTGGAACAAGCCTATGCTCTGCCTGATTTCAGCTCCCAGACTGTAAATAAGCATCCTCATCACGGTCTACTTAAGGTCAAGTTTTTCACATTTTTGTGCTTTTTGTTGGTGATTTTGCTGTTTCGAATGGCCTACAACTGTCATACTGAAGTGTTGTTCCTAAACTCAAGAAGGCTGCGATGTGCCATAAGGAAAAAATACATGTGTTAGATAAGCTTCTTTCAGGCATGAGTTACAGCGCTGTTGGCCATGAATTCAGTGTTAATGTATCAACAATATATATTTAAAAAGGTGTCTCTAGAAAGAAACACACATAAAACAAGGTTATATATTAACCACCTGAGGACCCTATGAGCTACCCCTAGGAGCAATGGTTCAGTTTTCACTAAGTTAGCATTTGCAGAGACTTTATAGAACCTAATTTCCATGAATAAGAAAAATACACTGTGTTATATCACCAATCAAGAACTGAAACTGTGATACACTCTGTAATTAACCACCAACTATGAGTCCACATTGCAACAGCACATTCTAACATGAAGATATAGACCCTTCTCAACACAGCAAGCAGATAAAAGACAAAGATTGAAGTTTTGGTGGGGAGATCAAGGGGCGATGGTTGAGGGGTGAGAGGATTCTCTAATCCAAAAGATGAATGTGAAAGCACCTCTTCTTATAAAAACACAGAAGTGATCAAATAGATTCTCTGCTCCAAAAAGAGAATGGAAATGAAATCGAGCTTTTACTGTTTTCCTACTATAGTCAATCTCCTCAATCCAGGGCAAGAATCTGTACAGACAGGGCTCTACAGTATTCAAACTCACCACCTCAGGAACCCTGGAGGCAGGAAGTGTTTCAATGTTGGTTCTCTGCAAGTCTGAATGATGGGAACTGGTTATATGAACAATACAATGGATTCCATAACTGACCCAATACAAATCTGTAGTGATTCAGCCAGTGAAGGAGAATGTGCTTGGCCTTCCTCTGTAGTCTTCTTAAATTGATAGCTGTGGCAACATCATGCATAGGGCTTATGTCCATTGCTGGATCAGATGTATCTGTATCCACTGGATCTGCTAAACTTGAAGGCTTGAAAACAAGAAGAGATATGTACTTATATACCCATATATACAAAGAGAGAGAATACTTACTAAATAATTAACAAATATCAATTCCATCATTTATTTATTCACTCATTCATTCATTCCTTAGATAGGTCATTTAACAAGCGTTTATACCATTTATAGGCCAGGCACTGTGCCAGAAATGGACTAAACACATATATAAAAGCCACGTTCTGAAGCTGGGTGCCATGGCTCACCCATGTAATCCTAGCACTCTCGGAGGCTGAGGTGGGAGCATCATTTGGAGTTCCAGACCTGACTGAGCAACAGTGAGACCTCGTCTCTACTAAAAACAGAAAAATTAGTAATCCTAGCTCTCTGAGAGGCCAAGGCGAGTGGATTGCTCAAGGTCAGGAGTTCCAAACCAGCCTGAGCAAGAGCGAGACTAAAAATAGAAAGTCTGTACTAAAAATAGAAAGAAATTAATTGGCCAACTAAAAATATATAGAAAAAATTAGTTGGGCATGGTGGCACATGCCTGTAGTCCCAGCTACTTGGGAGGCTGAGGCAGAAGGATTGCTTGAGCCCAGGAGTTTGAGGTTGCTGTGAGCTAGGCTGATGCCACGGCACTCTAGCCTGGGCAAAAAGTGAGACTCTGTCTCAAAAAGAAAAAAAAAAAAAACCAGAAAAATTAGCCAGGTACAGTGGTGTGCACCTGTAGTTGCAGCTACTCTGGAGGCCAAGGCAGGAGGATTGCTTGAGCCCAGAAGTTTGAGGTTGCAATGAGCTATCACGACATCACTGCATTCTACCTGGGGTGACAGAGTGAGATTTTGCCTCAGATAAAAAGAAAAGAAAAGAAAAAAGCCACATTCCCTTGTGAATGTACTTAATGCCACTGGATTATACATTTAAAAATGGCAAATTTTGTTATGTATATTTGACTACAATAAAAAATGGAGGAAGAAAAACCCATTTCCCTATCCTTAAGGAGCTTACAGTCAGCGGAAGAACTGAATGGGTAAACAATTACCCTACAGTACAAGGACTATATTAGATGTAAGCAGAATATTACAAGAGCATAAATAGAAAATTTAGTGTTTATAATGGTGAGTTTCTATTTAGCAGAAGAAAGTTTCAAAGGAGGATATCATGAGGACATTAGACTTTAAAATATATAGTTATAGTGACTATTATTATGATCTTTCATAATAAATTAGGTATATAGAGTAGTGATTTAGGTTGGGATGAGATTTTATGACTAGGAAAATTGTTGATAGTTTAGTTTTTTTTTTAATTTTATATTTTTAAATATAATTATTTTTTACATTTTATTTTTGATTTTATTATTTTGTGGAAGTGGAGATAGTTTAGTTTTATATATATTCATTAAGTATACATAAGTAGATGAAAATTTACATGTTTATTTATGGAATTATACATAACTATATACTTAACTCATTATCCAGGTTTCATTTGCATAATTTTGGTGTGTTACAGCAGGTCCCCAGAGGAAGATGTGTAGGAACCAAGAGGAATATGAAGAGAGCACAAGATTCAGTGAAGGGAAGGTTTTGAGGACTTTGGTCTACAGAAATCAGGTAAAAGTTGAGATTGTAACTTAAATCTGGGAAAGATCAACCACATCTAAAGGGCATGGACTTGAAACTCCCTTGCATTAATGACTCCAAAAAGGACTCAGAGAACCCATTTGTGGCATTGATAAAAATCACTCAAAAATGTGTAACGTAGGTCCAGAGTCTCAGCCTCAAAAATCTAGTGGGTAAATAAACTCCAGAAAAGTTTAGAGCTTAAGTAGAGAGATAAAGTATATCAATCCTATAGTATTAAAACTTTAATGAAGATGAATGGATTTTGAGTTATGGGATAATGTATATTTGTTATGTTTGAAATATTAAAGAGCTTTTCGTAAATTATAGAATCTGAAAGATTTCCCTTAGGCTTTTAATTTTAATTCAGTAAACTGATTTTAAACTTGTAATCACTAAGTTTAAAAGTTTAAGATAATTTGACTAAGTTAAAAAATATAATTGGAATATTTAACAGAACTTGAGATTCCCCCAAATTTAATTTATTTGCTTTACAAAAGTTAAGAACTTGAGAACATTTTGCTCGTTAGGGTTATAAATGTGCATTTGAAGTACTTAAAGGGGAACAAAATATATTAAAATTATAAATACATTTAAAAATATATTAATATAAACAGTTGTTCATTAAATTGCATATAAGTCTAATTGTTAAAGGAAGTTTAGTCAGCTCAATTTGAGTTAAGCAAACATTAATCAAGGAAAAAATAAAGATAAATGTTATCTTAAGTAGACTTTACAGATACAATAAATAGATTTTTAATGGCCTTAACACTTAAAACTTAATGAAAAGTAGAGTTTTTAATGGGTCACTCTACTAAAGTGAATTTTAATTTTAAAACCAAAGTGATTGCATTTCTCTATTCACAAAGATATCTTGGACATCAAAAAACCTCCCACATTGGTGCTATGCTTTTTAAAGCCTTTCCCCGATACGTGTTCACTGCATTGGTTAATCACAACCAAAGTGAATCTCTTTAGAGGTTTTCTTTTAATAGAACAAAACTCACAGAAAATTCTCTAAGAGTTGCTAAAAAAGACAATTTGTCAGGTGAGAGAGAGAGAAAGTGAAATTGACGAGATGTGATAGTTCAAAGGACACTAGCAAGCAGGTAGAGTGAGTCTGCCTTGCACATCCAATCCTTGTGGCATAAGAAGACCCAAGAGGAACAGGTTTGTCTATTCCAATCCCTGTGAGGTATGTCTGTACTCCCTGCTCCAGTTTCCAGCTTGCACATTGGTGGATTAGGTAAATAATTTCCTTCAATTTAAAGGAAGGGCTTAGAAACCCCATTTTGGCCTCAAATCCAAACCACCATCTCCAGTCCAGCTCTAGCAGGGAGGCCTATTCTTTCAGTAACAAATATCTCGATTTCTAGTTGGTTCCTCGTATCTGCAATCAGACTCAAAAAGGAGGAAGAGGGAGCAATAAGCACCCCCAAACTGCCAATACTTTTGTTTCATTCAGTTGTCTTCTTTGGATAGGCTGTGTATATATCACACAAAGATGCATTTCTATGTCATTTTTCATTGGGCTTTTTTGTTTGAGTTGAATTATATCATTTATTTGATCTTAAATATACTTTCCCAGCTCCCTTCTTGACTTCATGATTAGCTTAATTTGCAAGCATATTGGGTAGGGTGAGAGTTCTGGGAAGGATAATACGCTTGAAAAGCAGCTTAGCTTTCACGTCAGGCCACAGAGAAAGGTGGTCACAGAAATGTGGGGTAGGAAAATAGTTTCCTAAGTGTCAGACATCTATCTGTGAATTATGTGTAAAGCTTCAAAAGTAGAAGCCACAATGGTATACTTGTGATAATTGGCGTTTTGGTGTGCTAGAGTTAGCCCATCAGATATTCGTGTGAAAGCTCAAATTATTGGGAGAAAATTAAACAAATAAACAAATAATTTTATTTGAAAATATCATGCCTTAACATTCTTCTTTGGGAATATTGTACAAAGAAGATATAAAACATCTAAAAAACCAAAGAATCTATATTTCAAAAAGATTTAAAAAAAGAATAAATTGTCACAGCTAAGAAATTGATTCAGTGTTCTTGCTTGCACAACACTGAATGAATGTTTATTTTTTTTTTTTGAGACAGAGTCTCACTTTGTTGTCCAGGCGTGAGTGCCGTGGCGTCAGCCTAGCTCACAGCAACCTCAAACTCCTGGGCTCAAGCGATCCTCCTGCCTCAGCCTCCCAAGTAGCTGGGACTACAGGCATGCGCCACCATGCCTGGCTAATTTTTTTTTTTATATATATATATCAGTTGGCCAATTAATTTCTTTCTATTTATAGTAGAGACGGGGTCTCGCTCTTGCTCAGGCTGGTTTTGAACTCCTGACCTTGAGCAATCCGCCCGCCTCGGCCTCCCAAGAGCTAGGATTACAGGCGTGAGCCACAGCGCCCGGCCGAATGTTTATTTTTAAGGGGAAAGGATGCTTGGGAAAATTGCTGATTGTAGGAGTTATTTACAGAAGTGACAAAAAGGGACTCCTATGATAACTTCTACCATTTGTGAATGCAAGAGATAAATATATCAATCTTTATTAGGAAAACAGTACAAGAAGGCTTTTCATGCGTGTGGGGAAATGTCCTCATTCTAAGTCCTTGGGAGTGGTAGTTTTCATGACAGAAATTAGTATAAATTATGGTGCTCAAACCTTCAGAATCACAGTCCCTTAATAATTACAATGTTTTTTTTCCTGATTTGGTTTCTCTGCTAGTATTACACATGATGTTTTCACTTTTGAGATACTTTATATATTTCACAAATATCTTTTATTTCTTATTTCAAAGGTAATGTATTTAATATAAAAAATTAGGTATGCATCCTTTCTATTTAAATCATATAAGAATATTTTTTCTTTGACTAATACAGAATCATACAGTGCATGCTGCCTTGTCATCTACTTTTTTCCCATACTTAACATACTATGAACATCAAAGAACCTTTGTGGTATTATTTTCTTTAGAAACTAAAGACCTTACATATGAAAAAGAACCAAATTCTTCATGCTGAGAAACTATGATTATAAGCAGATTTAAGTCCATTTATAAAGATTATAAAGAACACCTCCAAACATTGGTTTATATTAAATAACTAAAGAATAATCACCAGTTTAACAGTGCCAAGTTCTTTCAACAACTTAAGAGTTGGAGATTATCCAACTCGAGGTAAGAGGAGCTATAGAGGCCTGGGCCAGAGGGGGTGGCTCTCTGCCTTCCTCCATCTGAGATGGAAACCAGCAAGGGCCTTCTCACCTGGTAGGAATTACAGGGAGGTAAAATAATTTCCAGAAGGATCCAGCATAGCAAAAAGGGAAAATAGGGCTTGGGAGCCATGTACAAGAAACCATGCCATCTCAGTGCAAGTTTCCAGATTGTTCCCTCCCAGAGCAACACACTTAACTGAACCATGGGGGTGCTGCTAAGTTTGCCTCAATGAAGAAGGGGAATCTGCAGGCTGCCCCAGTGCAGACTGAGAAGTTACGTGGTTTGACTGAGGTCTAGGACACCTTGAGGGCTAGGGTTGAAAACACAGACTTGGGACAGTCAAGCCCTCATGTCTTCTCTCACACTACACAAATCCAAAGCAAAGGCAGATGTTAACAATAGCACAAGAATGTCTATGTCTTCAGGGATCTGTTCCTCAATGCATTCTAATCAGGCTTCCACTTCAACCCGTCCCCTGAAATGGCTCTTGCTGAAGTCACCATCGATTGCCTTAGAGACAAATGGACACTTTAATTTCTCATTTGCTTGGCCTTTCTGGATCACTCACCCTGTTACTACTCTCTCATTTTGAAACTCTTTCCCTTTAGTTTGTATGTTGTTATCAATTGTAGGAAATAGAAATCTCTCTAGCTACTTGTATGTACCTAATTATAAAATCACAGAAAGAGCAGGAATGGTTATCTCCAGCTACAAACTCATGGCTCAGGGTAGTGGCTACCTCTGCCATATCAGCAAGGTGGTGATCAGGAGACCCCACTGGAGCTGTTGGGCTCAGGGACAGTCTGCCAAAGCTGTGATTGTTCACATCTCAGTAGCCATGATGTTAGTGACTGGATAATGCAGTGCTACCGTGGGGAAACCCAACTTCTCTGTGATCTTGCTTATCAAAGCAACAAGAAGATGGTCTCAACCTTATTTCCATCTTCCAAATCTCACATTAATGCATTTCATTGCTGGGAATTAATATGCCTCCAGAAATCCATCTGCAAAAGAGTCTAAAAATGTAGTTTTCAGCTTTCTAACCTCTGCAGTACAGAAAGGTATAATAGAGGGAGTGGGGAAAAACACAGCTCACCATGCCCACCACGGTGACATGGTTTTCCTCCTCCCTCTCTGCCTGCTCCTTGGTGTGGGCTGACTTGGCCATCTTCTTTTCTCATTTTACCTACTCTTTACCTCCATCTCATTACATAAACCAGAAGACTGTCTTATGGATTCTGCCTCCTAATTAACTTTGTAGATTTCATCTAGTTTCCATTCTCACTATCTTAGTCCTGTTCATAATATTTTGACTAGATTAGTGCAATAATCTTATAATTGATCTCCCCTGACTATACAACAAAATATTTCCCCAGAAATAGTCGATACAGAACAGTAGTTCTCAACCCAAGTGAGTACATCCTTCCTTGGGGCCATTCAGAAATGGGCATGGGCCTTTTGATTGGTGGCACAACTGGCATTTAGTTTGTGGGGACCAGGGATGGATCCTGCAATGTGAAAGATGGTCCTGCATAACTAAGAATTATCCTGCCCTAAATGTTGTTTGTGCCCCCTTGAGAAATAAGGATTTCTAGATTCAGGATTTTGTAGACTATTAAATTTCAAAAAATGTTGGGAACCAAAACAGATTGTCAACTTTTAATTTTACTAAGTAAATACAGCAAACAAAATTACTACCATCTTCTACCACTATTATTGCATAAAAGACATGTAATTCCCCCAAAAAACCTTGTACACAAATGTTCATAGCAGCTTTATTCATAATAGCCAAAGACTGGAAACAACCCAAATGTCCATCAGCTGATGAATGGATGAACAAAGTGTGGTCTATCCATACATTGGAATACACTCACCCATAAATAATTTTTAAAAACCTATAGATACATGCAATAAAATGTTTTTCTGAGCAAAAGTAGCCAGACAGGACAGAGTCCATATTGGTTCTACTAATGTGAAGGATTCTGTTTGCATGGAACACAAGAAATACAAATCTAATTAATAGTGCCAGAGAGAAAATCAGCGGTGTTCTAGGCCCAGGATGGGGAAACTGACCAGGAAGGGACAAATGAGAAACTTTTGGTGCAATGGAAATTATCTATATCTTGATTGTGGTGGTGGTTACACAGGTGTATACGTTGGCCAAAACTCATTGTGTTATATGCATTTACTGTATAGAAATCATACCTCAATAAAGTGGATTTTTAAAAAGTTGGTATACTGCCTCATATCCATTAGGATGGCTACTATAAAAATAAAACAATAGAAAATAACATGTGTTGGTGAGGGTGTAGAGAAATTGGAACACTTGTATGCTATTGGTGGGAATGTTAAATGGTACAGCTGCTATGGAAAACAGTATGGTGGTTCCTCAAAAAGTTAAAAATAGAATTACCATGTGATCTAACAACTCCACTTCTAGTATATAGCCAAAAGAATTGAAAGCAGGGTCTCAACTGATATTTGTACACTCATGTTCATAGCAGCATTATTCATAATACGTAAGAGGTAGAAACAACCAAAATGTCCACTGACAGACGGCTGGATAAATAAAACATGATATATCCAAACAATGGAATATTATTCAGCCTTAAAAAGGAAGAAAATTCTGAAACATGCTGCAACATGGATGAACCTTGAAGACATTAGGCCACGTGAAATAAGCTAGTTATAGAAGGACAAATAACTGTGTTTCTACTCATATGAAGTTCCTAGAGTAGTCAAATTCATAGAGATAGAAAGCAGAATGGTGATTGCCAAAGGCTAGAGAGAGGGGGAACTAGAGCATTAATGTTTAATGGGTGCAGAGTTTCAGTTTTGAAAGAGGAAAAGGTTCTACTGTGTTTCCCTGAAAATAAGACCTACCCATAAAATAAGCCCTAGCAGGATTTCTAAGCATTTGTGCAATATAAGCCTTACCCTGAAAATAAGACCTAGTGATGGATGTGGCTACTCAGCGTTATCTGCACAACCCATGCTTTCCTCGCGGAGCGGGAAAGACAACGAGCAGCCTTTCTCATCTGCCCCATCCTGACAGCTACTATCCCAGAGGTGACAGGAAAGGTGCGGGCAGCCCCACCAACAAGGTTGGTTCCCTCTATCAGGTCCCGGCCATCCTGTGAATGCTGCAAGCTGAGGCTTTGAGGGGAAAATAACACATCCCCTGAAAATAAGCCCTAGGGTGTCTTCTTGAGGAAAAATAAATATAAGGCCCTGTCTTATTTTCGGGGAAACACGGTAGAGAAGGATGGTGGTGATGGCTGCACAACGTGACTGCACATAATGTTATTGAACTGTACATTTAAAAACGGTTAAATACAAAAATACGTCCAAACAAAAGTCAGCCTATGCTCCTTCCAGGAATTATGTAAATGGTCCTACCTGTGTTCAATAGCTTGACTCTTTGGCTCTCTAAAACAAATCCCACCTATTTCGGAAGAGAAAAACACCTGTAGAACAACATGAAAACTAAAACCCTCCTTTGTTTGCAATATGAAAATATTTCACACTTACATCTTTGTTCTGTGTTGTGAATCTCAGCTGCTTGCGCTTCATTTTGTAGGCCTTGAATAACGCCCTGGCTTCTCCAGAGGTGGGATTGATATCAGGGAATGACTAAGAAAGATTGTAAGCTCCTTTCAGACGACAAGGTTCATAAAAACCCAGGGAGGCAAGACTTCTAAAGAGTAACACAGTTATGATACCTGTCCTTAAAAATAAAGATCTCTTTTATGTATTCATACATTTTCTATAATTTGTGTAACATTCACATAAATGCACTCAAATTTTTTAAAACTTTCAACAGTTTGATCAAAACCAATCAAGCTAGCTCATTACTTAACTAGTGAAAATAGAGATACTACTGGTTTAGTGTCTCACCTCTCAATAAATAAAAGGTTTTAGTCTAGAATTCTTCAACAGAGATTTAGTGTAAGTGTGAAATGATTATTTAGAGATGTTATTCTGGGCCACAGTTTTAACAATGCTCAACCCTGTCCGAGTTTCTTTGGAACGTAACTTTAAATTGATTTAATTTCATCTGACTTAAAAAGTAATATATAAACCCTATGTCATTTCTGTTTTTTAATAAGAGATCATAAATTATATAAATGCAAACAATTCAATCAATAAGAGACAGGAAATTAATTCTCCAAGCTTAGGAATCATGGCCCTAGAAGAAACCATGTTTGTTTTTCTCCCAACTCTACCTTTGCCTTCTAATCTCTTCTCTTTCCAAACTTTCAGTTATTTCACAGATAAAGTCCATAAACAGCCCTGGTAGGATTTTTTTTTTTTTTGTTGAGACAGAGTCTCACTTTGTTGCCCAGGCTAGAGTGAGTGCCGTGGCATCTGCCTAGCTCACAGCAACCTCAAACTCCTGGGCTCAAGCAATTCTGTTGCCTCAGCCTCCCGAGTAGCTGGGACCACAGGCATGCACCACCATGCCCGGCTAATTTTTTCTATAATATTAGTTGGCCAATTAATTTCTTTCTATTTACGGTAGAGACGGGGTTCGCTCTTGCTCAGGCTAGTTTGAAACTCCTGACCTTGAGCAATCCACCTGCCTCGGCTCCAGAGTACTAGGATTACAAGGCATGAGCCACTGGTGCCCGCGCAGATTTTTTAACTAGGCAAGATTTCAACAACCTTTTCATAGAATTTACCAGGTACTCTGAAAGTTAAGTATCTAAAATCGGTGTAACATGGCTCCTGCTCTGGTTGCACCGAAGAGGTGACATGAAGTTGATTAAGAAACCTCTGGACCTACCACCTCAGGTAAGCACACAGCGTAAGGCTTGCATTTTACAGGTGCTAGAGACAGCTTCAGGCTTTGGGGATGCCATTTGTAGGCAATTTTTTTTTTTTTGTGTTTTTAAAGTTTGTTGTGAATCTCACACCAAGCTGTGTTGTCTATTTTTACCTGAGGACAACTTATGTTTTGTGTGTTCCTGCATAGAATGTTTCTTCTCATAAAGTTCAGGTGGAAATTCTGTTATTTGATTATCTAATGTTTGTGTTATTTTCTCCCGATTGCTGTCAGGTCGTCTTCATTTAATTCGTTAAGTCAGGAATGGTTTTATGGGTTTTGTGCTGCTCAATTACAATGTTGCGTATTAATTCTGAGAGAAGAAAGATGAGGGGGAGGAATAATATTCAAGACATCAGTTTTGTTCTTGTTATTATCTTGTCCTTATTTTAGTGAGTAAAATCTGTGATTTATCTGTCTATTTTTTTGTTGTCAGTCTACCTTACTGGTTTCATTGTCTTTGCCTTGGTGTGAGCAATCATTAGGTGCCAAATGTTAAAAGGGGGGGGAAATGTGTATGCTCTTTGACTGTGAAACTTACTTGGAAGTTCCAAGAGATTTTTAAAGGGGACAGAATGGAAAGTAACAATAATATTTTTTTTTACGAACACTTCTTATATAAAATAATAATGTTGTGCTGCTGATGTGCATATTTAAGGGACGGGGATCTGCATTTTTGTTGAAAGTATCTAATTAAGTCAATGCTCCAAGCAGAAAAGACTCTTGTTTTGGTCAGCAATTTTTTTTTTATTGTTGTTTTTTGTTTGGAAGCTACCAGCTAATTTTTGGTAATTTTGAACTAAATAATTTACTCCTTGATTCTGATTTGTGTATTGTAGATCTGACTTCAGAGTGTTTGTTATCTTGATAATTTATTTGCTCTCTATCTCTCTCTCGTTCTATATCCTTGGTCCTCTTTAGATTTACCTCCTGATTTAATATTGTTTGTTTTGTTCAGCAGCATGTTATGATTTGTAAATTGTTTTCATACAACACGAGGATTGTGTTTACCTTCACTTTGATAGCCTAGAACAGTGCGGGCCAGTAGAGATATTAATGTTAGCCGCAAATGTGAGCCAGTTGAATAATCTTTTATATTTTTAGTAGAATATTAAAAGAAAAAAAGCATGTGAAGATTAATTTAATAAACATATTTTATACCAAAAGTATCTCGTAGAATATTCGCATTTTAATGTGCTGCATATAAAAATACTAATAGAGGTTATTATGTTCTCTTTTTTTGTACTAAGTCTTTGAAATCTGGTGATGTATCTTTATACTACATGTGGTATTTCAAGGATTTCATAACTCATGTTGGCTGTGGTGTACCATACTGGACAGCACAGTTCTATATAAATGGTGCCCTGAAGGTTAGTTGTGCAGTATACCACCTGCACATCCATACTCGGTGGCCCCAAACCCCAAATAATAATTTTGTACACACACACACACACACACACACACACACACACACACACACACACTCACACACAAAATAACTACATATGAATCAAGAAAGTCTAGCTCAGGAGTATTTGGTTTAGTCCTCTCAAAGTTTGAATTCATTGCCAACTTTAAAATATCAGAATATTTCATATAAAAAATCTGAATTTTTGACTTAAATCATAAAATATAGCAATCCCAGGCCCATATTCCCATGTGGCAATAGTCTTCTGGCCCTAGGTAGAGGCTGCCCCCTTCAGGTAAGACACTTCTGTTCACCATAGTTCCTGCCTGGCAGGCTCATTCTTCTATTGTTTGAATTTGGAATCCTTGATCCTACAGAGACATACACCAACCTCTTAACAGGGTTGATTTCTGCAGCGTGAGACTGAGGGGGAGGAAAACTTTTGCCTTGAAAACTGTATGCTTTCTTACTTTAAAAATGTTTTTATAGTAGGTCCGAAATGCTTTTCTAATAATGATTTTTTAAAATTGCTATTTAAAGCAACTGCTGCTTAGCAAAGACAAATCCATCATGAAAAGGCCAAGTATAGCTTGCCAAGTGAAATGAAGGACTGAAATAAAAATTTATCACATCCAGGAAATGGAGATCATTATCTTAAGTGAAATAAGCCAGGCACAAAAAGACAAATATCACATGTTCTCACTTATACGTGGGAGTTAAAAATTTTGATCACATGGAGGTACAGAGTGGAAAAATAGATAACAGAGAGTGGGAAGGGTGAGTAGGAGGTGGAGGAAGGATGAAGAGAAGCAAGTTAAAGGGTACAAACATACAGTAAGACAGAAGGAATAAACTTAGTGTTTGATAGCAGAGTAAGGTGATTATACTTAAAAATGTATTGTACTTGGCCAGGTGCGGTGGCTCACACCTGTAATCCTAGCACTATGGGAGGCTGAGAAGGGAGAATCACTTGAGGCCAGGAGTTCAAGACCAGCCTGAGCAAGAGTGAGACCCCCCCCATCTTACAAAAAAGTAAAAAAAAAAAAAATTAGTCAGATGTGGTGGCACACGCCACCAGCTACTCAGAAGTCTGAGGCAGGAGAATCACTTGAGCCGAGGAGTTTGAGGTTGCTGTGAGCTATGATAACACTGCTGCACTCTACTCAGGGTAACAGAGCAAGAAAAATGCACTTAGGTGATGGACACCCTAAATACCCTGACTTGATTACTGTACATTATATACATGTAACAAAATTTTACATGTATATAAATTTGTAAATTTGCACAAATAAAAAATAATAAAAGACAAAAAATGTGGCTCATCCATTGTCTAGTGTAGACAGCCAAACTGAGTAATTCAGTCCTTTCAATCCTCTTTTCCCCATAATAGTATATTTTTAAAATTCAAAGTAAATTGTTGCAACATAAGAAATAATCGTAAAAATGATAAATTATAAAATGATACCCGAATTTCGACTGGATCATCAAGTTTTCCCTTTGAAGGCCACATCCATTCCCTTATGATTTTTCCTTTTTTGCTGATCACCATGCCTCCGTCCTGATTAAACATCACTGCTGTTATTTTTCTATGAAAAAACCAGAAATGTGACTCATTTACAGCAAGAAAAAATCACAAATTCATTGATCCGGCTGAAGTGATGGAAGTCACCAAGAGTACAGGAATCCATCCTGTCACATTCCTGGAGGATGGTCACCCTGCCTCTGACTGAGTATCTTCCTGGAAGGAAGGCTGGTACATACCTGCTAAGCCGATTAAGACACCCTGTCATTGAGACAAGCCCTATCCCACCCCACTACCCCATCTATAGGGCCTTAGGAATGGGCTCTGCTGGCCACGGTTGTCATTCCATGTGGCCCTGCTGCCTTGGCTGTGGCTGACTGGATCAGGGGTGGACATATGGCCCAAGCATGTGTTCCAAATGGATGCCACCATGTGTGTAAAAGCCATGAGGAAGGAGGGCGGGGGCATAGTGCGTAGAAAGGATGGAAAGAAAGCCAGTGTGCATAGAGTCGAGAGTGATGTAGATGGGACAGGAGTGACTGGCAGTCAGGGGCCAGATATGCAGGAATTCTAGGCCATATCATAAATTTTATCTTAAGAGCAAAAAGCCATAGAAGGGTTTTAATAACAAAGCAAGGAGCCGACATGATCAAATGGATTGGTGAGGGACCACAGTAAATGCTGAGAGACCAGGTAAGAGATCAGGAGCAGTTAAGTGGTCCAGGAGGGAGGATGGCAGCTTGGACTAGGGCTTGGGGGAGAGAGATTCAAGAACCATCTAGGATTTGGATGGTGAAGAACAGGCAGGTGTGAATTTTATCTCCCTGATACTCTCTGTGAATGCAGCTGAGCGTTTTATTAGCTTTTCTGGATCAGCAGCATCACACTGTGTGTTTGTATCCAAATCATTTTTGGGCTTTCTCTCTTCTTGGCACAGCAACTGGCACAGAGAGAGGCTTAAGAAAAGTCTGCTGAAGCAAGTTGACAAAATGGATTCAGTTAAACAAATACATATTGCATAATGACTAGATGTAAGACACTGTTTAGGCACTGCAGGCTTGCCCCGAGGGAGGTGCTGTCTCTGCACACAGGACATTTTCAGTCTTGAGATAATAATTATTTTGATATATGACATTTATTATAGAGCCTACTATGCACCAAGCACTGTGTAAGGACTTTAACTACATGGCTTTAATAGGCAGTGGTACTTAATGATTGCAAATGCTATAGAGCCAGACTGGTATGGTATTGAATCCAGCTTTTCCATTTCCTATTTGTGTGGATTTGGACATATTTCTTACCCTTTCTGTTGGCTCAGTTTCCTTGCCTTACAGCTGGCGATAACAGCAGCACCCACCTCACAGGGCTGCTGCGAGAACTAAATGAGTTAACACACACTACGTGTTATTAACAGAGCACTTTGAACTTAACACTTTGAACAGAGTCACGCACCTTGTACGTCCTATAAAAGCATTGGCTTTTATGATTAAGTCCTCACAATTATGAGTCCCATGTCACAGATGAGAAAATATAAACTAAGGAGGTTGATTAAGAGAGTACCCTCTACCGATGTGAAGTTTGATAGATGGGCTCACCATTACTGGAAGATTAAGAGTAGTTCACAATATAAAAGGGGAGCTTTTAGCTTAATCAAGGAGTTTGCAATCTAGGCTAGAGGAGCAAACCGGCCAAGCCAGTGGAAAAAAAAAAAACAGAAACAGAAGTTCCAAGCCTTGGCCACCTAGAGCACATTCCTTTCTTGAACAGACTACCCTTTCTTTCCCCGGGGCAGTCTAGACTTCAGCTGTTCTCCTTCCTGCCAGAAGCCCCAGGGAAGACCCTGACCACCCACCTGCGCATCTCAATAGGAGCTTTGGCTAGAGCAGCTGTCTCCCTGCCAGCACTGTGTTTCCCTGCATACTGATCCTGGCAACGGGGTCCTACTCCACGCCCCTCTCATTCATCCTCCTGCTGGCGGGAGCTGATGAGCCTACTCATCAAGACCCCCATAGGTGGGATGACAGATGTCCAAAGGAGGATTAGCTAAAAAGATGATTAAGAGTTAAATAATGAAATCCCTTTAAAGGCATCTTTTTTGTTGTTGTTGTTTTTACCTTCTCTTTCAGCTTTCAGTTCTGCTGAAAGCCGACTCTACCCTCTGCCAAGAAATGGTCTGCAGTGCCTAGGATGAAATTACACAGGGGCAGAACTTAGTAGTGAGGCTTAGCGTTTTAGGCTCTGTGAAGCTCCCAAAATACCATCAGCAGATGGTGTCGCATTTATCTGCTTAGTTACTGTTATCAAAGGAGACAGGAGAAGGATGAGGAAGGCAATCGCTCCAGAGGGACAAGAGGAGTGAATGTTGTCACCTCCTATTTGTTGCATGGATATAATTCTCATCTTGGAACTTTAATCTTATGTAACAAGAAAGGGGAAATTTTCCAGTAGGATCCTAACTACAGGGCAATGTTTAAGTCTGGCCAGGGCATCCAACACTCTGGCTTCTATCCAGAAAGTGAAGACTTATGACATATTTTTATTTCCATTTTAATTTTGTTGACTTGTAATTTTGTAGGTCTGTGAGTTAGTCCTAAAGGAGAACTAAGAAATCATATTGCTCAACTCTTGCATCAACCACTATCTATTCATTTTTTCATTTATGGCTTTTATTTTTAATTACTATTATTTAAATGACAAAAGTTTCATAACATTGGACTGAACAAAGAATACCAAGTTTAGGTCAAATTTTCTTTTTTTTTTTTTTTTTTTTTGAGACAGAGTCTCGCTTTGTTGCCCAGGCTAGAGTGAGTGCCGTGGCGTCAGCCTAGCTCACAGCAACCTCAAACTCCTGGGCTCAAGTGATCCTTCTGCCTCAGCCTCCCGGGTAGCTGGGACTACAGGCATGCGCCACCATGCCCGGCTAATTTTTTATATATATATCAGTTGGCCAATTAATTTCTTTCTATTTATAGTAGAGACGGGGTCTCGCTCTTGCTCAGGCTGGTTTTGAACTCCTGACCTTGAGCAATCCGCCCGCCTCGGCCTCCCAAGAGCTAGGATTACAGGCGTGAGCCACAGCGCCCGGCCAGGTCAAATTTTCTTGTAGGAGGAAGGGAAATAATGATACCTACTTTAACCATGCAATACAGTATGGAAAATTATATATTAATATATTGAGCTTTTATATATATCAGCTTTATTGAAATATAATTCACATGTCATACTATTTACCATTTTAAGTGTATAATTCAGTGGTTTCTAGAATATTTACAGGGTTGTGCAACCATTATGACAATCAGTTTTAGAACATTTTCATGCCAAAAGAAACCATTAGCACTTGTTCCATTAGTGGTGACTCCTCATTCCTTCCTCTCCTTAACCACTTATCTACTTTCAGTCTATATAGATTTGCTTAGCCTAGACATTTCATGCAAATGGAACCATCCATATGTGATCTTTTTGTGACTAGTTTCTTTCACTTAGCATAATGCATTCAAGGTTAATCCGTGTTGTAACACATATCAGTACTTCATTCTGTTTTATGGCTGAATAACATTCCATTGTATGGATATGCCACATTTTATTTATTGGTTATCAGTTATTTGTCAGTTGAGCCCTCTTTTTGAGGATGTATTAATGGTGTTGCAATGGAATTCTCATAGGGCCTCACAAATGAGGACTTTGTTTTACTCAGACTTCGGGACAAGAAATAACTTTCTTCATTAGAAATTTAAAATGCTTGTCTTATAAAAAGAAAAAGTAAGCGAACGTGTGTGAATGGATGTGGGTATGTGGATGTAAACTCCATTGTATTTTCAAGAATATACAAAATACTTCTGCCATGAATATATTTGCAGAGTGAATAAGAAATCAAGAGGTAGGAAAAATTTTAATTTCCATGTGATACTCCACAGTTTAACTTTTTTTTTTTACCATGTGCATGAATTATTTTTATTTAAAAATATGCAAACATCAATATACCCTCACTCCTACATTATAGTGGGCTTTCTCACTGAGAATTGCAAATAACAGATGCTCTGGTTAGTGATGCAAAGTGCTGCAGCAACCCTTAGTCAGAGCCAGCATTTGCAATATTTTGGAGGAAAGTCAAGGATCACACAGAAGTTAATTAATAAGGATTCAACATTAATAAATGGTATTTGAGCAAAGACTTAGACCAAGTTATCAGGATATTGACATAAGAAGTAGGCATCTTAGCAGAGTCCGGTACTCCAGAATAGAATGTAGTAGAACCCAGCCTACACTGAACTCAGCCCTTAGTCCTACCAGGTAGATATTTTCACCTTCTTAGTTAGATGAAACTGAACACTGATCTCAGATACCTCTGAACATGCATGGTGGTTCATTTCATATTAGTACATTGTAGAGGACTACATGGAGTTTGTAACTACAGCATACAAGCTTAGAGCTTCTCAATCAATTCTTGGTTATCTCTACTTTGTCCCAAGTGTCATTACATATTGACATCTCAATTAGGTGGACACTACCATACCATTAGAGTCATTATTCAGGGAGCAATACCAAAATTTCTTTTGGAAGACCATCTGGAAGTTCCTCAAAAGGTTAAAAATAGAGTTACCATATGAGCCAGCAAATCCGGTCTTAGGTATCTACTCGAGAGAAATGGAAACATATGTTCACACAAAACCTTGTATATGAATGTTCATATCAGCATTATTTATAGTAGCCAAAAAGTGAAAACACCACAAATGTCCATCAACTGATGAATGGAGAAACAATGGAATATTACTCAGCCTAATAAGAAATGAAATACTGATATATGCTACAACATGGATGAACCTTGAAAACATTATGCTAAATGAAATAAGTCATTCATAAAAGACCACATACTGTATGATTTCGTTTTTATGAAGTGTCCAGAGGCAAACCTCTAGAGGAAGAAAGTGGATCAATGGTTGCCTAGATTTAGAGTGGGGGTGGGGAGTGGTAAGTGACTGCTAGTTTGTACAAGGTTTCTTTTTAGGATGATGAGAATATTCTAAAGTTAGACTATGGTGATGGTTGCAAAACTCTGTAAATATA